TGTCAGGAACGAGAGCGAGGGGAGCATTGAGAAAATGACATCACAAATCACTCAACCGACAGCGCCGTCCGAAGAACTAAGTTTCTAGAAAATCTACACTCGCACACTCGTCCCTTTGCGCGCATTTACTTGAATATTCCGGATACTTCTTTGCTAATTTAAATAAATAGGCGCTGCAAGATGCGATCGAGGCAGTATTGAAGTGGCGAAACAAGCGAAGCTTCGGAGCGGAATAAAGTGAATTAGTGTGTTTAATTATTAGTGTTTTAAGTTTTAATTTGTGTAAAGTAAATTAAAGTATTAATTTAGGTAATTTTATCGGCAATTTTTATTGTCACGAACCTCAAGCTCGTAACAATTGGTGTCAGAAGTGGGATAAAATCATGCCGATTTTACCTAAGGAGGAAACGGAGGGTGTCCGTACCCGAAGTCAACGCCAGCAGGAGACGGACCAGAGGAGATTTGGTGGTGCAACGCCGCAGATGTCTGAGGGCCAGCCGCCGGCCACGGAAGCCGGCCCGTCAGCAGCTTCTACGTCTGTGGCACCTGACTTAGGTGCTCTGATGGTGATGCTGCAGCAGCTGCAGCGCGGACAGGAGGAACAGGCCCGCCGATTGGAAGAGCAGCTGCGGGGCGGACAAGAGGAACAGGCCCGTCGGTTGGAAGAGCAGATGCTCCTCATGAAGGACCTTCACGCTACTTTCGGGAAGGAGATAAATGAGGTGAAGGATAGGGTTGCTCAGCATGACAACTGCCTGTCAGAAGCTGAAACCCATATCGCGAAAGCTGAAAACCGAATCGAGAAAGCTGAAACCCGAATCGACCAAGTAAACAATCGGGTTGACAACGTAATGGCTGACATGAAGAAATCACTAGACGAACTCAAACTTGGGGATGGAACTACAGCTCCCGTAGTAGCTACAGCACCTTCGCTACGTGGATTCAAAGTGCCGCCGTTCGACGGGACCTCTTCCTGGTCGGCCTACAAAATCCAGTTCGAGGCCGTCATGGAGGCAAACGGCTGGAATAAAAGCCAGGCCATGACTGCACTCACCTTAGGCCTGCGCGACCAAGCCTTAACCGTGTTGGAAGCTCTCGGTAAGAAAGTGACCTACGAGCAGCTCCTTGAGGCATTGAAGGCGAGATATGGTGACTCTCACCTGGAACACGTCTTTCGCGCGCAACTTAAAGATCGCGTGCAACGCAGCAACGAAAACCTGCAGCAGTGGGCCCTTGAGGTGGAGAAGATGGTTCGAAAAGCATACCAGTCTGTACCTGCGCTCATTGAAGGGAACCTGGTGCAGACATTCATCGACGGCATCCGTGACCTGGAAGTCAGAGCTGCTGTGAGGCTCGGGCACCACGAGACGCTTAAGGACGCCTTGGCCCATGCACTGGTGGTAGAAGCCGTGCGGCAGGATCATCGTTCCCATCGCGTCAGGGAGGTTGCAGCAGCTACAGTTCGTGACCGCAACAAAGGATACAGCCCTAGGTGCTATGGCTGTGGGGAAAAGGGCCATCTCCGATCCAGCTGTCCTAAACGAACCGTGGAAAGGAGAGTTGATCGATCTCGAGAGGGTAGTGCAGCTAACGGCACTGCCTGGCGGCGACAGGATCATCGTTCACCTCACGTTAGGGAGGTTACAGCACTTACGGTTCGTGACCACAATAAAAGATACAGCCCTAGGTGCTATGGCTGTGGGGAAAGGGGCCATCTTCGGTCCAGCTGCCCTAAGCACACCCTAGGAAGGGAAGGTGAGCGGTCTCAGAAAGGAAGTGCAGCTAACAGCACCGCCCAGCAGCAGCAGGAATACGACTTTACTATCAGACACTGCAGCGGGAAATCTCACGGCAACGCAGATGCATTGACAAGAAGACCTTGTCCTGAAGATTGCAACCATTGTAGTAGGCAAGAGAGTAAGGAAGTGGTGTCCGTGAGGATGCTCAGGACAGACCACCTCAGCAACGGGTGGAAGGACAGCCTACGACATGCACAGCAGGAAGATCCGGACATCAAGCCGATTCTGGGATGGATGAAGGCCCGTGCTACCAAGCCTAAGTGGAGGGACGTCTCAGCGATGAGTTCAACCACGAAAAGCTATTAGGCCCAATGGGACAGCTTGCTGATTCAGGATGGAGTCCTGTGCCGTAAATGGGACAATGGTCGAAGAGACAGCTGTCGTTTGCAAATGGTTGTTCCTAAAGCTAAAGTGCCGAATGTTCTACAGCTGTGCCATAATGGTCGTTCAAGAGTCCATCTGGGAGTTAAACGAACTCTACTGAAGGTTCGGGAACAGTTTTACTGGGTCCATTATCGAGGATTGGTGTCGTACATGTACAAGTTGTGCGGCCGTGCGGGGACCTCAGACACGTAGTAGAGGAGCACCGAAATTGTACAATGTTGGTGCACCACGGGATAGGACAGCCCTTGACATTGCGGAGCCGTTGCAGAAAGGCGCAAGAGGGACTCCTAAGATCGTCCATGTGGATCGCTTGGCGCGTTATTATGGGGCCGATAATGCTCGGGACGAGCATGTCTTAGGAGGGGGCAGTGTTACGCGCTCAAGTCGACGATACACTAGCGCCATCTAGTGTCAGGAACGAGAGCGAGGGGGAGCATTGAGAAAATGACATCACAAATCACTCAACCGACAGTGCCATCCGAAGAACTAAGTTTCTAGAAAATCTACACTCGCACACTCGTCCCTTTGCGCGCATTTACTTAAATATTCCGGATGCTTCTTTGCTAATTTAAATAAATAGGCGCTGCAAGATGCGATCGAGGCAGTATTGAAGTGGCGAAACAAGCGAAACTTCGGAGCGGAATAAAGTGAATTAGTGTGTTTATTTATTAGTGTTTTAAGTTTTAATTTGTGTAAAGTAAATTTAGGTGTTAATTTAGGTAATTTTATCGCCAATTTTTATTGTCACGAACCTCAAGCTCGTAACATTATATATACATCGCCCTACGATTGAATTACTGACTGAGTGGAGTCGAGTAACTGGTACCACTAGCTTTTGTCTGTTCCTAGTATTTACAGAATGAATATCACTTATTTTTGCAAAAAATAAATCGCCGCGCTTGACAAAGGCTATCACTATAATGAACTTCTCGCAACTTTTTTTTTATATGTAATAGAGCCATGTTCCAGTTATAATTGTAACACAAATCAGTCGGCTCGACCGGGAAAGAACCAAGCTCTCACAGAATACCAGCTTATATAGCAGTTTAAATATGCTTTGTTACGTATGTGTGTGAGTGTGGAGAACCGGAAACTCTTTCCTAGAAACGGATGATAGCGCATCTGCATTTTTTCTCTGCATTCAAAAAATGCAGATGCGCTACATTATCTGTGTCTTCGTTTGTCACCAATATTCTAATAAAAAACTCTTTGACGTTGGCCTGTGTATTTTACGTCTAAAATGAACAAGATGATACGCCGCCACCGCACGATCCATAAATTATATACATGTGTTATGTATATATAAATTTAACTTACTCTTATATACTGCATGAATACCTGGGCGACCGAGGTATACTCGACGTTAGAAGAAAAATTTACACCTTTACACCTATCTAGATAAACAGTTTCTGAGAAACTAATTACGTACCTATTTATATATATATATAATAAGGGAGACAAACGAACACACAGTCCATGTGATGGTAAGTGGATGCTGTGGCTCATAGACATCTACATTTATCCTAGATTAAGAAGCTATTTTACGCTGGTATTCTGTGAGAGCGTGGTCTTTCCGCGGTCGAGCCGAGCCATTCGTGCTATTACCATAATATTGCTGCAGTGTGGCTCTACCACGTACAAAAATGTATACGTACCTACATACATTACTGATGCAACGGAAGTGTCATAACGTAAGCAGAAACAGTAAAAAAAGTCAAAAGTAAATTTAAGCGGAAACAGAAATGGAAACGGATACAGTGATAATATATTTTTTTATTAAATTAACATTTATTATTAAGTAGCGGTAAGTTATATTTTATGACTTAGAAATCTGTTTCGGTGTTCTTCATGTCATCATCATCATCGGTGTTGTTCATAAGAATAGCTTCGTTAAATAATTGCCCACTAGTGGCACTGCTTGGAGGAACTTAAATATTTGCGAACGAACGGCACGATTACTATATTTGTGTGCATTTCTTTTCCACCACATACTCCTGTTGGTGGATTACGTCTATAAAAGAGATTTTCACTCTTGTTACTGGTATAACATGGATTCTAACATTTGTAATGATGAATTCATGATGTAGGTTGGACTTCATTCTCAATTTGAGATCGACACCTTTGGGGAAAGGTATGCCGTCATCAAAGTTTCGATCAAATTCCGTTATAAAATTGCGGAAACAGAAGCAGTAATGAATCACAAAAAGTGTGCAGAACTTCTGCAGTTGCGGATGCAGAAGCAGCATTGTTGCATCACTAATATACATATATTAGTTATTATATTTAACTACTGCCTCATTGGTCTAGTGGTTGTAGTAGTGCGACTGCTAATCATGAGGTCCTGGGTTGGAATCCCGGGTCAGGCCAAAAAATCAATTATTGAGTTTATCTGTCAAGAAATTCTCAGTAGCTGCCCGGAGTCAGGAAGTTGGCGGTGTCTCACTCCCATGCCTCGGAAAGCACGTAAAGCCGTTGGTCCTGCCGCAGGACGGCAGCCGGTAAAGCAGGACTCCTGCGCCTGATATCTCCCCGGTCGTGTCGGTTTACCGTCCCATCGGATTATGAGAGTGAGGGAATAGAGAGTGCACCTGTGCTTGCGCATACACTTGGGCACTATAATCCTGTCCTGCGCCGATGGCTAGCCTCCGTTGAGGCAGGCCGCCGTGACCGAAATTCGGTCTGGAGGACATTATTATTATTATATCTAACAATATGTTTTTACTGTAATTAAGTCAAAGGCAAAAGGCAAGCGCACTGTATTAACTTGTGTACCTCCATATAATATGATATAAATTAGTTGTTATAATTTATTTTCAGGGCGTTGGTCAAATTTACAATGAACTTCGATCTAAAGGCGTAGAATTTCCCATGACGGACTTGGACGCTATGGCTCCTATTTTTACACCGCAGAGGGTATGTTAATAAAGTATAACACTTACCTCATAGAAATATATATGTTATTAAAAAAAAAACATGCGGTCCTTTTTATATTAATTCATCAAATTTGCGTATAATTAAACGTGAGGCAGCATAAGGTTTAAGCGCTATAAACTATAAAACTTACCTGATATTAAACGAAATATTATGTTTTAAAAAAATACATGGTTATAATTAAACGTGAGCCAGCAAATATATGGTTTAAGCGCTATAAAATACAAAACTTAGCTGATATTAAACAAAATATTATGTTATTAAAAATACATCTGGTCCATTTTAAATTATAATCAATCAAAGTTGCTTATAAATAAACGTGAGGCAGCTTATGGTTTAAGCGCTCACTGTAAATTTTACAGCATGCATGTAACATGGTTGATCCCCATGGCATAAAATGTAGGTTGCAATTTCAAGTTCTGATTAACCACGTGCTCGGCGGTGAACGAAAACATCACCATGTGAAATCAACATGCACTCACGACACGAGGTCAACAAGCATTGAAGCAATGGACTAATTGCTTCAAAACCATTTCAGAAATGAGAAGAGGCATGTAATGTAAGATGTATATAGGCTTCACTTTATTTTCTAATAAACCTAATACTCATTTTAATAATTAGGCGTTATTTTAATAGTAAAATTATTCCGCAGAGCGTTCCAGATGGTGCTGAGCAAATAGTAGGATCTCCACAAAGATCTGCTACATTGCAGCATTCACCCACTCGGCAGACACAGGAGCCTGTTACCACAACGGTAATTCATTACTCACCAAACGAAATACATTTCTTCAGTATTTATTCAAGTTTGAGAGAACCTATTTCTTATACAGAGCATATTTACTATTTCGGTTTCAGGTGACCTTATCGGAGAGTCAGACGACCAAGCTCCGAGCGGACTTGTCGGTGGTGGAAGGCAACATGTCCGTGATGAATGACATGCTTAACGAGCTCACCACTCAGCCGCACACACAGCACCACGATAGTGACATCGAGCTGCTAAATGTTAGTGCAATATTACTATATTAACAATTACTTATTGACCATGGTTTTATTAAGTGGTGGTGGTGAGAAATTCTTTTCTGCCAAAGCGTCTGCTTATTTCAGCTGCCAAACAACAGTTTGAACACTGTGGTGTTCCGATCTAAAGGGATAGAGAACCAATATAATTACAGGTTATAAGGCATTTCATCTCAGTCCTCATAAGTAACAACTCATCAGTCTTCTTTGTTTATAGTTAAATACCACTTACCATCAGGTGGACTATAAGTGCGTTTGTCACATAAATACTGTAAAACATGTAGTAAAATTAAAAAATTGTATAACCGATTTCAATATAAATAAAATGAGAATATCATTAACGTAGTTGAACTCAACTAAATACGAATTATTAAAGATAACCCAAAAACTACTGGTCAGATCTTGATCAAATTTTATCTTGGTTCTACCACATGGGAAGCATCAGCTTTCAAATAAAAAAGAATCATCAAAATCGGTTCACCTAAAAAGTTCTAAAGTAACACACATAAAAAAAACAGTCTAACTGAGAACCTCCACCTTTTCTTGAAGTCGGTTGAAAATGGTGCGAAATCAGCTCCAACATGCAATTGGAATTTACTCCTTAAGGCCGAATACGAAGAGAACTGGCGAAATTTAATGTATTTCTCTTCACTACAACTTTGACCTGAAGTAATTCTAAGCGTTAAAACATTTTTTGTAGGTTTGTTCGGTTCCTTCACAAGGTGCCCGCAGTTTTAAAATTTTAAAATAAATGAATGTACCAACAAATAAAAAAATGTTAAGAAATGGTATTTAAAAATGATTGTTCTTCCAAAACTCTGTGAATTTTAATTTAGGAAAAATTCTTTTACGTAAAAAATGTTTGTATTGTGATTCCGAAGGTATTAACATAATTCGTTTTAATTAAAAACACCTAATAATAATATCGTATATCGCCAGATAAAAGTTTGCCGTAATAAATTATCAGGCGCTTCGACGTGTGACGTAAGGTGACAACAGTCGTTGCGTCTGTAGCGAAAAGTTAATGATACTTATACTATAAATGTGAATATGGATAGGAAAAGAAGTAAATGTTACCTAAGTGGTAAAACAAAGAGAGTTTATCGCATGAACGCTGCTCGAATGTTGTATTTTGAGGTTAATACTTATATTTTTGTAAGGTAATTTTTTGTTTGAGGCTGCCTAATAGGTTGCATGTTTACTCATTTACATGAGCCAAACTAATCATTTATACTTTTCTAGTTTCAAGTGAAAAACACTAAAAATGTAAAAATATCAATACCGAGTCGCAAAAGAATGTACAGAGTAGTGCAAGCACAGAGACCGCAAATAATGTCATAGTCAATGTATTGTCCGAAAACATGGGTTAAATAAATAATTAAGAAAAACCGACATACTTCGGATGTTAAGGAAAAAAAACTAAAAAGTTGGTGATTCCCCACTAGTGGGGCAATCACCAACTTTTTAGTTTTTTTTTCTTTATTATTTATGCAATTTGCATTACGGCATCTTGTAAGACTCACAAGAACAAACATTTTCAGTTATATGAGGTTCTTTACGTACGATGCACCAATTAAGAAAAAAATCGATATCAATTCAATTACTTTTCGAACAATATTTTATAACGAATAAAGTACAGAATTTATAATCTATAGGAACTAATATTATAAATAAGAAAGATTTATTTAAGAAGTAAGCAATGCTCTCTGTGTTGTTCATTACTCTGCATACTGAGCTAGCTCAGTCAAATATAATATAATCAAAGCCCGTACGGCTTTGATTATATTATACATGTCTATATAAACAAAGCGTACAGGCGGCGCGTGGTTTGCTGCGAAACGATTAAGGTCAATCGCGTCGTATTCGGCATTAAGTTAGACTATCTAGAGCGTCTCTTTTATGTAATAGTGAAGTAAATGGCGCCTTTACTGTACACGCGTTTTGTATATGACGCACCAGAGAGGCTCCGTGGCTATATATGAAAATCGATCCTTAAGGTGTAAACTCCAAAAATAAGCCTTGGTTTTATTTTTTCTAGGAACTGGCGGATACTTTGCGCGCAATGCAAAGTCGCGTGGCCGAGCTAGTAGCGCGACTTGCCGGCGAGTCACCGCTCACCGCCGAGTTGTTGCACGCAAACGACCGCCTCAACAATCTACTGCTGCGGCACTCGCGCTTCCTTAACAACAGGTGAGCTAAAGTTGAACATTGTACAGTCTACGACCGCCTAAACAATCTACTGCTGCGGCACTCGCGCTTCCTTAACAACAGGTGAGCTAAAGTCGCACATTGTACAGCCTACGACCACCTCAACAATCTACTGCTGCGGCACTCGCGCTTCCTTAACAACAGGTGAGCTAAATTCGGACATTGCACAGTCTACGACCGCCTCAGCAATCTACTGCTGCGGTACTCGCGCTTCCTCAACAACAGGTGAGCTAAAGTTGCACATTGTACAGTCTACGACCGCCTAAACAATCTATTGCTGCGGCACTCGCTCTTCCTCAACAACAGGTGAGCTAAAGTTGCACATTGTACAGTCTACGACCGCTTCAACAATCTACTGCTGCGGCACTCGCGCTTCCTCAACAACAGGTGAGCTAAAGTCGCACAATGTACAGCCTACGACCACCTCAACAATCTACTGCTGCGCCACTCGCGCTTCCTTAACAACAGGTGAGCTAAAGTCGCACATTGTACAGCCTACGACCACCTCAACAATCTACTGCTGCGGCACTCGCGCTTCCTTAACAACAGGTGAGCTAAAGTCGCACATTGTACAGTCTACGACCGCCTCAACAATCTACTGCTGCGGCACTCGCACTTCCTCAACAACAGGTGAGCTAAAGTCGCACATTGTACAGCCTACGACCACCTCAACAATCTACTGCTGCGGCACTCGCGCTTCCTTAACAACAGGTGAGCTAAAGTTGCACATTGTACAGTCTACGACCGCTTCAACAATCTACTGCTGCGGCACTCGCTATTCCTCAACAACAGGTGAGCTAAAGTCGCAAATTGTACAGCCTACGACCACCTCAACAATCTATTGCTGCGGCACTCGCGCTTCCTTAACAACAGGTGAGTTAAATTAGGACATTGTACAGTCTACGACCGCTTCAACAATCTACTGCTGCGGTACTCGCGCTTCCTCAACAACAGGTGAGCTAAAGTTGCACATTGTACAGTCTACGACCGCTTCAACAATCTACTGCTGCGGTACTCGCGCTTCCTCAACAACAGGTGAGCTAAAGTTGCACATTGTACAGTCTACGACCGCTTCAACAATCTACTGCTGCGGCACTCGCGCTTCCTCAATAACAGGTGAGCTAAAGTTGCACATTGTACAGTCTACGACCACCTCAACAATTTACTGCTGCGGCACTCGCGCTTCCTCAACAACAGGTGAGCTAAAGTTGCACATTGTACAGTCTACGACCGCCTCAACAATCTACTGCTGCGGCACTCGCGCTTCCTCAACAACAGATGAGCTAAAGTTGCACATTGTACAGTCTACGACCGCCTCAACAATCTACTGCTGCGGCACTCGTGCTTCCTCAACAACAGGTGAGCTAAAGTTGCACATTGTACAGTCTACGACCGCTTCAACAGTTTACTGCTGCGGCACTCGCGCTTCCTCAACAACAGGTGAGCTAAAGTATCACATTGTACAGTCTACGACCGCCTCAACAATCTACTGCTGCGGCACTCGCGCTTCCTCAACAACAGGTGAGCTAAAGTTGCACATTGTACAGTCTACAACCGCTTCAACAATCTACTGCTGCGGCACTCGCTCTTCCTCAACAACAGGTGAGCTAAAGTCGCAAATTGTACAGCCTACGACCACCTCAACAATCTATTGCTGCGGCACTCGCGCTTCCTTAACAACAGGTGAGCTAAATTCGGACATTGTACAGTCTACGACCGCCTCAACAATCTACTGCTGCGGCACTCGCGCTTCGTCAACAACAGGTGAGCTAAAGTTGCATATTGTACAGTATACGACCGCTTCAACAATCTACTGCTGTGGTACTCGCGCTTCCTCAACAACAGGTGAGCTAAAGTTGCACATTGTACAGTCTACCACCGCTTCAACAATGTACTGCTGCGGTACTCGCGCTTCCTCAACAACAGGTGAGCTAAAGTTGCACATTGTACAGTCTACGACCGCTTCAACAATCTACTGCTGCGGCACTCGCGCTTCCTCAACAACAGATGAGCTAAAGTTGCACATTGTACAGTCTACGACCGCCTCAACAATCTACTGCTGCGGCACTCGCGCTTCCTCAACAACAGGTGAGCTAAAGTTGCACATTGTACAGTCTACGACCGCTTCAACAGTCTACTGCTGCGGCACTCGCGCTTCCTCAACAACAGGTGAGCTAAAGTTGCACATTGTACAGTCTACGACCGCTTCAGCAATCTACTGCTGCGGCACTCGCTCTTCCTCAACAACAGGTGAGCTAAAGTCGCAAATTGTACAGCCTACGACCACCTCAACAATCTATTGCTGCGGCACTCGCGCTTCCTTAACAACAGGTGAGCTAAATTCGGACATTGTACAGTCTACGACCGCCTCAACAATCTACTGCTGCGGTACTCGCGCTTCCTTAACAACAGGTGAGCTAAAGTCGCACATTGTATAGCCTACGACCACCTCAACAATCTACTGCTGCGGCACTCGCGCTTCCTTAACAACAGGTGAGCTAAATTCGGACATTGTACAGTCTACGACCGCCTCAACAATCTACTGCTGCGGCACTCGCGCTTCCTCAACAACAGGTGAGCTAAAGTTGCACATTGTACAGTCTACGACCACCTCAACAATCTACTGCTGCGGCACTCGCGCTTCCTCAACAACAGGTGAGCTAAAGTTGCACATTGTACAGTCTACGACCGCTTCAACAATCTACTGCTGCGGCACTCGCTCTTCCTCAACAACAGGTGAGCTAAAGTTGCACATTGTACAGCCTACGACCACCTCAACAATCTACTGCTGCGGCACTCGCGCTTCCTTAACAACAGGTGAGCTAAATTAGGACATTGTACAGTCTACGACCGCTTCAACAGTCTACTGCTGCGGCACTCGCGCTTCCTCAACAACAGGTGAGCTAAAGTTGCACATTGTACAGTCTACGACCGACTTCAACAGTCTATTGCTGCAGCACTCGCGCTTCCTCAACAACAGGTGAGCTAAAGTTGCACATTGTACAGTCTACGACCGCTTCAACAGTCTACTGCTGCGGCACTCGCGCTTCCTCAAAACAGGTGAGCTAAAGTTGCACATTGTACAGTCTACGACCGCCTCAACAATCTACTGCTGCGGCACTCGCGCTTCCTCAACAACAGGTGAGCTAAAGTCAATGTCACATGCCATGCTGCAGCTTTATTATGGTTGTAGCACGAATGGGTTGGCTCGACCGGGCTAGCACCACGCCCTTACAGAATATTAGCATAAAATAGCAGCTCAAGCTACTGTGTACACGAAACACAGTGAGTTTAGAGAACTGGAGACGCTTTTAACTGAAAATGAGGCATTCCATCTTATTCCTCAGGGATGACAATGCATCCATATTTTATTTCTTAATCTAAGATAAATGTAGATATCTATGGGGCACAGCATCCACTTACCATCAGATGGGCTGTGTGTTCGTTTGTCACCCTCATTCTATAAAATAAAAATTAACAACAGACGATTATTGTTACTACAGCCAGTTGCGTTCACGTTATTCGAGAACGTTCTCAAAGATATGGGTCAATGGACACTGTGAGTCAATAAAATGTGTATGCAAAAAATAGACAACATTCAAACTGTTGGTGCATGCAAGATACAACCTTATGTCTACTATATTAAAAAACATCTCCTTTGGACATTAATCGCGAGTGTTTTAGTAACTTCCTATTGAAAGATTGAAGTGACCCGGATTTATCTAGAATATTGTCCTTACGGGATATTTTGGGAAGCTGGGAACGCAAAAGTTAACTCTACTTCGGGATGTGACCATGCTCAATCACTACATCTGCGAATATTAAAGACCGCACCGAAGAAGCTTAGCGATTTTGGACAACGTTATTGTATACTTGCTGCTTGTGTGGAAGAATACATCCATTTCTCATCCTAGTGACAAACATCTTCCAGAACAAGTAGATACATGTTGCACGCTAAAACTACATCCAAAAATACAGCAAAAAGAATAAACACCTGCTTTTTTATTCTTTTGGTCACATAGCTGGACACAACGCTATTTAAAAATTTATTAAAATTCTTTATTGCACCCAAACAAAACAATTTGGTACAAAGGTGAACTTAATGCCGAAAAGGCATTCTCTGCCAGCACTGACCTGTATACAAGTACGCTGGACTGGCTATACCATACAAAATGACTGTGCCAATTTGAAGCGCCGCTAAAGGATGTCTTGAAAAATAAAATTGACATAATATGCCAAAGTCTGTGTTCTTATTCATATTGTCATATTTAATAAGTCTGTATTTTGAACTTTTAAACTAAAAAACGAAAGAAATATTTTATGTTGTTTGATTGTGTATAATATTAGTTACATAATAAGAATTATTTTAATAATAATGAGAGGGTGCGTAATCTGTAAAACTCGTTACCAAAAGGGAAGTGGTGTAACATTTCACAAGTAAGTGAATTTGCAGTAAATATTAAACAAATTAAAACTATTTGATAATAAAAGTACTTAGAAATTTGTTACTAATCTTAATATCATATATAAAAACATGTTTGGCTGTATATTACTGAGTTTTGATAAACAATAAAATTCAATAGGGTTGTCGAGTTCCGTGTCTATAATACTTATCGATGTTCTTTCCTACTCATATCTGTTAACAAACAAAGTCACCAACAACAGATGATTATCAAATGTTTATTAATTAAAAGGTTTCCAACTGAACCTAGACTAAAATTATGGCTTAAAATCATAAATATTGTGAATTGGCGTCTGAAACAAAATGATCATATTTGTTCCAAACATTTCACAGACGACTTTTATTAGACATGAGAACTGCACCACTTTGAAAAAGTGCAGTATACCGACAATATTTTCTGGTAGTACCAGTACCAAGCACTACCAACTATCAAGTACTATGTATTAGATTATTATTTCGAATGTTTTTTTTTTAATTTCTTCTTTCCTCATTTTCCACCAAACTCAAGGGCCATAGCCAAGTGTCGAAAGGTCGCCTGATGATGTCAAACCACGTTCGATGTATGTTAGTGGGCTGCGGCTAGAGGAGATTTCTCTCCCTGTACCGCTGTAGTCGAGGTGGATTCGTAAGGGAAGAGGAGTGTTGGTATGGCGATTGGCGATGCGCCACTCGACTGTTTTTCGCGACTTTGGTGAGGCTGCACCACTTGATGCTTCCAAGTGCTCGTTTTTCCCTGGCTCCATTCACATATCGGGCTCGGTAATTGATAATTTCAGTTATTTTTTTAATATTGTAATTTTAATTTCGAAAATGTCGTTGTAAATAACTGATAACTATGTAATTCAAAGTTTATATTTTTTTTATATTATCTTGCTAGCTCGTACCCGGCGCATTGCTGCCGCAGAAGAAATAATTTTGGAAATATCGTTAAAAATGTGGAACAGTTATATTGTATAATTAGGAATAGGAATGATAATACAATCATTGAAATAGAATGATATATATAACTCTCTATAACTTTCAAATAAATAGTCAGTATAATACGCACGCCACCTAGTCTCAGTTAATTGTACCATGCGTGTAACCCTCGCATAAGTGCAACCAATAAGTTGACTAAGTTTTACCGCAATCTGATGAACGATATGGCATCGTAGAAAGTACGAACAAACATAAATTTTTATATAGTAGAAAATATTTTACTGTCAATAGACAGACGTGTAGTTGATTAGAATAGGCGTTATTATAGCAGCTGATTTGTTTTTTATAATACTAAAACAAAATGAACGGTTGACAATACATTATTCTAGAAATTATGTTTTTATTTTTATTTTGTAGTACAAAACTAATCCAACTGTAGAGATGTGTAAGACAGTGTGATCTCCGAAATACTTTACCGCTGCATTGGAAAACGTTTTCTACCTACCGGACTGGAAAGGATACGGTATTAACGTCAATGTCGTGAACGTCACTCACCTTCGATTTGCCGACAATATAGTCCTTATGACACAATCGCTGGAGGACCTACGCATTATGTTCAATGACCTCAATAGTGTCTCCCAACGGATAGGTCTTAAGATGAACATGGACAAAACATAAGTCATGTGTAATGTCCATGTCACACCTATGGCGGTGGTTTTTGGGAGCACTTAGCTGAAGTTGTTGATGAGAATTTTTATTGGGACAAATAGTCCGACTAGGTAGGTCCGTCGATTGACCTGTCAGATCACGACAGGTCAATCGACGGATTCAACTTGGCTGGGCAGCGTTCGGTAGATTACAACACATCTTCTCGTCAGGAATACCTCAAAACTAGATTGTACAACCAATGCGTGTTGCCAGTGATGAAATATGGATCTGAGACGAGGTCTTTCATGACTGCTGGCCGTATGAGGAAGCTCGAAGTCGCTCAACGAGCTATGAAGAGGGCTATGCTCAGGGTTTCAAACTTAGGAATGAGGATATCTGCAGCAGAACCAGAGTGACCGACATCGTCCAATGGATTAGTAAGCTGAAGCGGCATTTGACCGGTCATATAGCTCGCAGAACCGAATACCGATGGGAAAAAAAAGGTTCTCGAGTGGTAGCCTCGTACTGGCAGGTGAAGTGTAGGACGTTCCCCCACTAGATGGAGTCAAAACCTGGTAAGACATGCAGGAAGTTAATGGATGCAGGTAGCTCAGGACCGTGCTTTGTGGCATTCCTTGGGGGAGGCCTATGTTCAGCAGTGGATTTGTGAAGGGTTTTAATGATGATGAATGATAATGGTATTATATTAATATGATACATAAATAGAACGGACGTTATGGGTAGAGTCCATCTATCCATAGAGTCCATTCTATTTATTTAGGTATAGGTAGGGTATAGAATTTTTATCGATATAATTTGGTACACTGTCTTATCCCTAGTATTAGTTCCGTGGACGTGCACTTCTGCTGTGAGCGCCAAAATGGCGGAAATCAAATCGCTTCACCATGTCACGGTGTATAGCCAGTCCAGCGTACTTGTATATATAGAGGTCAGTGTCTGCCAGCTAACCTTTGGTAGTCTGGTAAGAGCTATGAATAGAGCCGCGAGAGAAAAAAAACTAACTTATTTATTCATACTTTTTAAAACGTATTAATCAAGTAATATTAAATAATATGCCTCAAGCTTACGTTTAAATGTATCTATTGAAGGAGCATCTTTTAAATCTCGTGGATGGTTATTCCAAAGTGTAATTGATGATACCGTGAAAGAAACCGAGTAGTATGCAGATTTATGCATCGGGATATTTAGTGTTGTTGGTCATCGAACGGTATAAGCTTAAATATGAAAAACACTCTTTCAGATGAGCTGGGGAACAAGGATTGTGAAGAATACCATACAAAGTAGTTAGAAGGTGTGTGTTCCAGTGAAAACGGATGTCGAGCCACTTAAGTCTTGAGCGAAATTGTGATATATGAACAAACTTGCGCAGGCCATAAATATAGCGTATGCACAGATTGAGCAGACGGTCGAGTTTGCTAAGCAGCTACTCAGTTATATTTGGACAGGCAATATCGGCATAATCTAAAATAGGGAGCAACAGTGAGTTGACTAGCGTAACCTTGGCCGTCTGAGGAATAAATTTTTGCCAAACCTTTAATGAATGCATAGTTAGTAGATGAATAATAATATATCTCCGTACTATTCTTTTTGCAGAACGCAGTACAAACAAACAAATACTTATATTATAAATATTGCTCGTAAAGATAGTATGAGATTAAATTTAAGAATAAAGCTTTTGAAAGTGATTGGGTTATCAATATATAAAAATATGATAATCCGACTAGTAACGGGCTGGTTTAGTGCTCGTAAACGCGACTGTTGATCGTGGGGTTTAAATCCGAGGTCGGGCCAAAATCAGTTATTGGATTTTTGTATTAAGAAACTCTGAGTACCAACCATGAGTCAGGAAATTGGAGGTATTTCATCCTCGTGAAAACACGTAAAGTCGTTTGTCCTGTGCCTTATCTGGCCCTACTATAAATACGATTCGAGTAAAAAAAGATGTTACATAATTGCTTTTTCTTTCGTTTTAAATAAATTTACTTCTTCCTAACAAAAAGTATCGTTATAGAAATGCTGCGACCGGAGGGGCCACTCCATCAGCTATATTGGGTGCAGCCATGGGAGTGCCCGGCTCCACAGAGTTACGTAAGTATAAAATTGGTGTCTTATGAGATTGATTTGTATGTTTTGTGGTTTAAGTTATGCGATTTAGATTAAAATTCTTATAATATATACTTTAATACAAATTGGCTTTTGGTTTTGCTGCTTTGAATAATATAGAATTAAACGGCTATGGCGCATTCCATCTTAGTCCTCCTCTTAGTCACCTCTGAGGACTAAGATGGAATTAGAGAATAGGAAAGAAAGAAGGCTAATTAACAGAATTATTAATTAGCCTTCTTTGTTAGAAAGTACAGTAGCTACTTGACCTGATCATATTATACTACTTAACATTGGCAAAGGTACAATCGTACGAGTCCATTACCAGAGAAAATAAACCTGAAAAAAGATTAAAGCCTTTATACGTCTCACTGCTGGGCACAGGCCTCCTCTCATTTCTGAGAGGGTTTTAGGGCAAGAAAATGTCCTCCGCACTGCTCCAATGCATTTTGGCGAACATAACATGCCTTCGAAATAATTTTTTCTTATTTCTCAGACATGCAGGTTTTCTCATGATGAAAAAACTCACTATGGCTGAAAATACCGCACCTGATACGAGGAAAAATTCACAAAATACACAATAGTCATTCGACTGCTTTGCCTTCATGACTACAATTTTTACTACGTCCTGGTTTTATCATACATAGGTAGTATATACAAATAATAAGTATAATAGATGTCTGATTTTTGTTGACACTTGTTTATAATGGAAATAGTTTTTATCAGGGAACATAGTGTAGACTTCTTTTTCATCACTCATGACAATCTACTGTTGGACTCATTGTAGGTTGGAATTTAGCGTATATTTCATTATAATGTATTGGGTAATTATACCATGAATGGCTATCGATAGGATTGAGACAATCTAGTAAATAGCCATAGAAAAGGGATAGACATTCTTTCTAACTGTCAACAAGAAAATGCAGTGTATTCTTAGCGTGTGTTATTAAGGACGACGTTAGCAACTCGTCACACAGTTTGAGAATTCATTACGAAAAATTCATTAAAAAATTTGGTAATGTAGAGTTTATTCTTTTATCCGATGGGATACATTTCACGAGTAGTAAATAAATAACCTGTACTTATTACTTGATATCATTTGACCATAATTCGAACTCGAATTTGCTTATTATATAAGCCCAAAAGGAGTTACTGTCGTTGATCTATTTTAAAGTATTTGTGACACATTAAAAAAATTGGTTCTCCCATTTTTTTATGTGTGGTCATCTATGATGAAACAGAAATTCACTACCATTGTACAAACAAATATAACTATAAGGAATAGAAAATAAAACTGTCATAATTTTTAGCTCGTCAACCTGGCTGGATGGTTTATATTGAAGAGAACACAAAATAAAATAAAACGTTGTTTATTTGTTGAAATTCGAAATAAAGCGTTTTCAAAATAAAATAAATTCTTTCATTTCTGTTTTTTTTACAATATATCAACAAATTATGGCTTGCTCATAACGCTTAGTTTATAAATAATGCTACTTATAAAACACTCGTGCTTCAAATTAAACGTTTTTAATTTTCGCCGTAAGAAAATAAAATTTTGTTTCTCACAAATTAATTGCAGCAAAGAAAACTGATGACGACGCACTCATTGACCTCAGCGACGATGTACCTGACCTCGGTAAACTAAGTAAGTTTTTTTTTATTTCGACCATATCATCATTACTATTGTTGTGGATTCAACCTTCACTAGACTCACTTATGCTTAACTTACATTGTATACTTGATTAATTTTATTCAGAAAATATAAACATTTGCATTTTGACATAATGTATAACACATTATAAAGTTTTTATAAGCGAAGTCCTTTCTGAAAGTCCGGCAACGCACCTGCAATTCCCCTGGTGTTGCGGTTGATCATGGGCGGCGGTAGTCACTTACCACCAGGTGAGCCGCATGCTCGTTTGCCCTCTCTTCTATAAAAAAAAAACCCTCGGAATTGAATGGGGAAAGTAGTAATTAGTAAGAGGAATTATATTATATTGAAATAAATACCTGGAAAATCTTATGACTTCTCGGTAATTATCTCTTATCTGTTCGCTAATTTATTACAGTCCATCATAATTTCACTGCTGAACCGAGGTCTACTCATAGATCGATAAGGGGGCTATTTGCCACAGTTGCCACTCTGCCTGGCCAGCAACCAGGTTTTTTATTATTATTTTGAAGATAATAAGAAATAAAGTGAATCATTGTGATTAATTATTAGTGTTTTAAGTTTAAATTTGTGTAAAGAAAATTAAAGTGTTAATTTAGGTAATTTTATCGGCAATTTTTATTGTCACGAACCTCAAACTCGTAATAATATTATCATTGGTCAGATTAGACTTTAAATTATTAACCAAAAAGACATGTTTTTGATGTCAAATATACCTTTTTATTATTTCTATGAAATTGAACCGAACCGTGTAGTGGCGCTGTAAGAATGATTATATCATTTGTGGATGTCGTAAGAAGCACCAAAGGGAAACTGAACCAGAAGATGGGCAGCAGCATTTTCCTAATAACCACTGACTAAAAATAACAAGCCGCTTACCAAGTGACATATATAGAAAAAATCCCTATGAGGCCATCTATGGGGAAGGACTATGTTTAACAGTAGACTTTTGAGGCTATAATGGCAATAAATCAGATCAGGACGTTGCAATGGTTTTTGAGAAATACTATATTAATATTTCCAATCTTAACCACTAAGTCACTGAATTCTTCTCCTGCCGTCGCCGAATCATTACTAACAAAATGTAAATGCGTATACAAAGAATTTCATGCAGTATCATCAAAATATATTATAAAATATTTTAAAACTATTGATTTTAAGAAAAGCGCAGATCTGTGGTAGATTTCCGTTAAAGTTATTGTATCTATAATAGATACAATCGCACTTCAACTATCTATTATTTTTAATACTAGTGTCTAATCGGGTGTGTTTCCTGATTTAATGAGGCATAGTTAAGTTATCTAAATCTGGTAGTACATTGGACCCCGCTAATTTTAGACCTATTTCTGTACCACCAAAATGTAGCAAAAATTAAAAAAAATTGATCATATGTTTATTTTTTTTAATTTACTACATTAAAACCAATTCGGTTTCACAAAAGATCGGTCGACAATTGGTGCCGCTGTTGAGCTGATTAAATTTATCTTCAGTGCATGGTAGAATTGACAACATGCTTTGGGTAAATTCTGGGACCTATCCAAGGCTTTCGATTGTGTTCACCATGAAACATTAATCAGGAAAATTCAACACTATGGTGTAAGAAGTGATGCTCTTAAATTAATTATTTCATATTTAAGTAGCAGAACATAAAAAGTTGTCATTAATAATGAGTTCTTCCGGTTCGATAGTATAAATGCGTGTCTCAGGGCCCAATTCTCGGCCCCTTTCTGTTTCTTGTATATATTAATGACTTACCTTCTCGTAGTAGGAGATAACCATGATATAGTATTATTTGCTGATGATACTTCCTTAATTTACAAATTAAAAGAACAATTATCAAAATATGAAGAAGTAAATAATGTTATATCTAAACTAGTTAATTGGTTTAATGTTAACTATTTGCATTAAATACCAATGTAGTTTTAAATGGGGAGGAACTGAGTTTTGTCACACTAGACGCGAAGCTTCAATGGGGCCCCCATATATCAAAACTAGGAGACTTAGTTCCGCACAAATGCTCTAAAAAGATTAGAATTCTTACCAGTGTTGAAACAATTAGTTTACTTTAGCTATTTCCATAGCATAATGTCATGGTATTTTGCTATGCGGACACGCGACTGACACTCAAATTATATTTGTTTTACAGAAGAGGGCCATAAGAGCAATCTATGATTTAAAACCTAAAGAATTGCTCAGACAAAAATTTAAGCAAATTATATTTGTTTTACAGAAGAGGGCCATAAGAGCAATCTATGATTTAAAACTTAAAGAATAGCTCAGACAAAAATTTAAGCAAATTATATTTGTTTTACAGAAGAGGGCCATAAGAGCAATCTATGAGTTAAAACCTAAAGAATGGCTCAGACAAAAATTTAAGCAAATTATATTTCTTTTACAGAAGAGGGCCATAAGAGCAATCTATATCTTAAAACTTAAAGAATAGCTCAGACAAAAATTTAAGCAAATTATATTTGTTTTACAGAAGAGGGGCATAAGAGCAATCTATGATTTAAAACCTAAAGAATGGCTCAGACAAAAATTTAAGCAAATTATATTTGTTTTACAGAAGAGGGCCATAAGAGCAATCTATGATTTAAAACCTAAAGAATGGCTCAGACAAAAATTTAAGCAAATTATATTTGTTTTACAGAAGAGGGCCATAAGAGCAATCTATGATTTAAAACCTAAAGAATGGCTCAGACAAAAATTTAAGCAAATTATATTTGTTTTACAGAAGAGGGCCATAAGAGCAATCTATATCTTAAAACTTAAAGAATAGCTCAGACAAAAAGTTAAGCAAATTATATTTGTTTTACAGAAGAGGGCCATAAGAGCAATCTATGATTTAAAACCTAAAGAATGGCTCAGACAAAAATTTAAGCAAATTATATTTGTTTTACAGAAGAGGGCCATAAGAGCAATCTATGATTTAAAACCTAAAGAATGGCTCAGACAAAAATTTAAGCAAATTATATTTGTTTTACAGAAGAGGGCCATAAGAGCAATCTATGATTTAAAACCTAAAGAATGGCTCAGACAAAAATTTAAGCAAATTATATTTGTTTTACAGAAGAGGGCCATAAGAGCAATCTATGATTTAAAACCTAAAGAATGGCTCAGACAAAAATTTAAGCAAATTATATTTGTTTTACAGAAGAGGGCCATAAGAGCAATCTATGAATTAAACCCTAAAGAATAGCTCAGACAAAAATTTAAGCAAATTATATTTGTTTTACAGAAGAGGGCCATAAGAGCAATCTATGATTTAAAACCTAAAGAATGGCTCAGACAAAAATTTAAGCAAATTATATTTGTTTTACAGAAGAGGGCCATAAGAGCAATCTATGACTTAAAACTTAAAGAATGGCTCAGACAAAAATTTAAGCAAATTAATATATTAACTGCCTCTCAATACGTTTATTAAAATGTAATAATGTACGTACACAAAAATAAAAGTAGTTTTACAAAAATAGGTGAAATTAATTCTGTAAATACTAGGAACAGACGCAAACTAGTAGTATCAGTTGCGTCTACTCCATTGAGTCAGTAATTCATTCTTGGGGCGATGTATACGCTTTTACAACAAAATCCCAAAAAACATACAAAATTTGACCTGCAAAAGTTCAAAAACTTTATTAAACTAAGTTTGTATGAAAAAATTTACTCGTATTATAATATTAAGGAATTTATGGATGATAATAACCCCCGGTAAAGGTGATTGATACCAAGCTGTTTCTAATGTGTTTTGTATTGTTAATTGTAATATACATGATTGTAAGCTGTTATTTTTTCTAAAAACAGGACAGAACTTTTTTCCGAACCAGTATTAAATAAAAAAAGAGACTCAATAAGTGTTATTGTTATGTGTAATCTTAAAAAAGTTTCTGTTTCAACATTTTTTGCTTTGAACATTTTTTTTACAGGTGTAAAGGAAGGGCCCACCGAGAAGTCACCGGCTAGTTCAAAGGATGAGTTCGATATGTTCGCACAGTCACGCAATGTCACTTACGAAAGCTCCAAAACTGGGTAAGTTTTTACTTATTATTGGTTTTAATAAAAAGTGACAGTTGTTATAACTATAGAATAATAATAATTATTTATTCTTACTGATTAAGCCTATTCTATTCATTCATCCATTACAGCCTGACAATAGTCCACTGCTGAACATAGATTGCACTATACGGAGTTTATTTTTTATAGAATATATGTGATAAACGAACATATAGTCCACCTGATAATAAATGGATACTGTGATCTACAGACATCTACATCTGTCGTCTGTTACAAATGAAAATGCAAATGTATTGTCACCCCTGAGGACTAAGATGTAATGCTTCATTCCCAGTATAAAACTTTAAGCAGGTATTTTACGTTGTATTTCTGTGAAGGCGTCCTAGCTTAGTCGGGCCGACCTATAAAAGAAATTGTAATCGTGAAATAAGAGAGAAAATATAATTATAATTTGTACATAATTATAAATAATTTAACCTCTCAGGCCCCGACGTTGTATTGGACCTACTGAGTCAGACCTATGGCCAAGCAAAAGAGTATATTAGGTCAGGCCAAGGACAATGTTTGTTTTAAATAAAGGTAAATGTAACTTAGAGTCATTATTTTGTTCTTACAAAAAAAAAATATAAAAAATACAATTAGTTGTATGGATAACCGTCACCGTTGTCCCGGTTACAAAAAAGTCACAGTGAGCAATCATTGTGACTTTGTCACGTTGATAACGTTAGATAACTACTTGGAACATAATGATTTCTTAAATTTACGCGACCACTACACATTAAATAAAACTATATAAACGAATTCTATCACGTCTAATTCACTTAACTTATTTTTAATTCCCGGGTGCTTTACAGCCCCATAGTCACTGGGGGGGGGGGGGCTGCGATGTTTGACGTCCCAATGTCGTAGTTAACCTAGCTACCTTCAGTTTTTAATATTAATTTTCGGTCCGATCTACGCAGAACGAGCTTACAGTATCTGGAAGTCTTGCAGTGGTATGCTTGGGTTTGGGTTTAATTTCCTTAATTATAGGATCCCAAGTAGATGTCAGCAACCATCCATCTTCTCTATTGAAATTAAGATGTTTTTTAATTTCAATAGCCTCGCGTATCATCCTTGGTAGGAAACGGTGTTCTTTTGCGAGGATATGTGGTTTATCAAATCTGATGTAATGGTGGTGACGATCTTTAACTATAATTAATAAAATTAAACCCAAACCCAAGCATACCACAGAAAGACTTCAAGGTACTGTAAGCTCGTTCTGCGTAGATCGGTACTGTCACGTGTTCTGATACGGTTACAGGATAATGTTCGGTAAAATGACACAAGTGTGGACGCAGCTTTAGGTTTTATTTCAGTAGTCAATTTTTTATTACCTCCTTACCTAAGCTACGAACGTGGCTATGTTATAAGTACCATTCTAATTATTATTTTTGAAATATACTAATTTCACCTACCGGCTAGGTTATATTACCAGTCGGTGCACCGTTCCAGTACACGGTACATGTACCTTGTTACACTTTTTGTTTGATTCAGTGATAGAAGTAACGGAGAAAATAGTACGGTGGCGGCGCGAAGGAACAACGTTATTTGGAACGTAGTTGGAGAGAGGGGTAATTTTACTATTTGATAAAATATTTTTATGTGTAAAAAATAGTTATCAAACTTCAAACAATTTATTAATCAAAAGTTCCATAAACAAGTTCAATGGTTAAAACAGTAATGAATAACAAAACCAAAAAAGTTTACTGAAAATAAAAATAAATATTATACAATATGTAACGTAATTAATGCACACCCTCAGACACCCCAATTAGTATATTATGTTATAATCATAATACATACACTGAATTTTTAGTTAAACATATTGATTGTTTCTCAAATTAGTTATACTAATTCCGGAAGAATGTTGTGGTCACAGTACAAATCCACGAACGCAAAGACTTTAACGTGCTTGAAATAAATTTTTCTTTATTTTTATTGAATGACAGAATTAATAATAATACAAATAAAACTGCACTCTTAAAAGTCTTATTGCCTTAAGTTACGGTCCATTTCAGTTTGTTTTAACTGTACAGATTCAGTGTGACTGTAATTTACGTAGTTTTAATTATTTTTGGGAAAAAAATTACCTATATTAAAAATGATAGGAATCGATTCAGTAGACGATTCTGAACAAACTACTTTCTCAAAGTGCGTTAATTATGTTACGTATTACTTATTTATACAACTAAGGCAAATCTAACGAATGTGTTAAAATACGACGTCAATCCGGAACCGGGTGAAAAGGCAAGTCATGCTGGTTATCAGAAAATTTAAAAAAAAATCTAAGTTGCCTGTTTTCAAAATTATGGTCATTTAAAAAAAGTGGTTTAACACTTGGTAAATTGTAGCTCAATCGTGGACATTGTTTTTTTCTCTCGTAAAACCCAGTTTTAACAAGTTTAAAATTATTCTAATGTACCCAAAATTTTCCAAAGGGTCATAAATTGTAGCTTGAAGTGAAGGAGTCATTCTTAAGAAGTGTAAGCGAGACAGGTATTGACGCTAAAGTGACTGAAACGGATAGAGTCACCTTATCAAGTGCGAGTGAGACCGGTATGGATGCAAAATTGACTGAGACGGAAAGAATCACCAAGTGCGAGCGAGACAGAGAGTGACGCCAGGAATTCGCTAATGAACCAATACAACTTTTTTATTACAATTGCCTACAATAGATGTTCAAATTGCTTTCCTTCAGCGGCAATATAAGCCCGACATCTCTTTAAAAGAGATCGAGATATTAGTCGAGCGAATCGCTCTTGCTCATTGTAGGTATTTCTTTTCTTACAGTATACATAAAACGAATTATATTTCTTAATGCTGTTAAAGAAAATCCGTCGGAATATTCCTTTCTATGTCTCTTTGTTTTTGTAGGACCTTTCATTTTGCTGCCACTAGCTGTTACAGATTCATGCTCTCGTAATTCTGTCACTGTATTTTTGCAATGCCGTAGCACACGCTACACGTTCCGTCACTTTGGTAGAATTTTGTAAAAGATTTAAAATGTCCGTCACAAGTTGCTTTGAAATTAACATGTGCTCAGTAGTGTCCAAAGGATTTTTAAGGGCACGGTTTATATTTTGAATCAATAACTTAGAGTCCTCTTTCTCCTTTACAAAATAATTGTTTACTTTAATAATCATTTCACGAGCACGGCTGTTAATGACTTTCTTACTCATTGTAACAGAATAAGTATGATAACAATAACAAAACTTAAAAAAAATAAAATGGGATAACGAAAATAAAAAGCTCTAAAAAACACATGGTAGAGGTACTCTATACGCGTAAGCGCTGATTTCATGAAAGCGAACGGCTGGAATAAAAGTCAGGCTATGACTGCTCTCACCCTAGGCCTGCGCGACCACGCCTTAACTGTTCTGGAAGCTCTCGGTAAGGAAGTGACTTACGAACAGCTCCTTGAGGCATTGGAGGCGAGATATGGCGACGCTCACCTGGAACAAGTCTTTCGTGCGCAGCTTAAAGATCGCGTGCAACGCAGCAACGAAAACATGCAGCAGTGGGCCCTTGAGGTGGAGAAGCTGGTTCTAAAAGCATACCAGTCTGTACCTGCACTCATTGCAGGGAACCTGGTATCAGACGTTCATCGACGGCATCCGCGACCTTGATGTCAGAGCTGCTGTGAGGCTCGGGCACCATGAGACGCTTAAGGACGCCTTGGCCCATGCACTGGAGGTGAAAGCCGTGCGGCAGGATCATCGTTCCTATCCCACCGTAGGGAGGTTGCAGCAGCTACAGTTCGCGACCGCAATAAGGGATACAGCCCTATGTGCTACGGCTGTGGGGAAAGGGGCCATCTTCGATCCAGCTGCTCTAAGTGAACTGTAGAAAAAGGTGATCCATCTCGATAGGGTAGTGCGGCCAACAGCACCGCCCATCAGTAGCAGGGCAACGATGACTTGTCAAGAAGACCTTGTACTAAAGATTGCAAGAATTGTACTAGGCAAGAGGTTAAGGAAGTGGTATCTGTGAGCATGCTCAGGACAGACCACCTCAGCAATGAGTGGAAGGACAGCCTACAACATGCATAGCAGGAAGATTTGGACATCAAGCCGATTCTGGCATAGATGAAGCCAGCCAAACCCAAGTGGAGCGACGTCTCAGCGATGAATTCGATCACGAAAAGCTATTGGGCCCAATGAGACAGCTTGCTGATTCAGGATGGAGTTACGTGCCGTAAACGGAAAATAGTCAGGGAGACAGATGTCATTTTCAAATGGTTGTCCCTAAAGCTAAAGTACTGGATGTTCTACAGCTGTACGTTCGTGCCCGACGTTTCGAGCACTTTACAGCCAGCACCCATGGGCCTCACCTCGCACCTCATGGTAAAAAGATGAAAACCCGGTATGACCGTAAAATGAACAACAAAGGGTTCGACGAAGGGTCACGAGTGTGGTTGCACAATCCAGGTCGCAGCAAAGAGAAATCCTATAAGCTTCAAGCTAAATGGGACGGACTGTACCGGATTGTGACAAGAATCAATGACGTAACCTACCGAATACAGAAAGTTGCAAGAGGTACTCCTAAGATCGTCCATGATCGACTGGCGCGTTGTTATGGGGCCGGTAATGCTCAGGACGAGCATGTCTTAGGAGAGGGCAGTGTTGCGCACCATAATGAATGCCTGGTACATGGAGATATTAGTTATCTCTAGCGCCTTTTAGTATCGAGTAGCAGAACTAGAAGAGTCAAGATCCTTTTAGAGATTTCCTTGCCAGAACTTTCTACACTTAGTCGGGACCGGTATGTACGTGAACATTCTAGATGTTTCAGTAGAAGAGGCCTTGTATGAGGCCGGTGTCGATCGCGACCCGAGTCAGTGCTGAATTGGCGATTCATGCGAATACTTCGAACCGATACAACTGCGAACTAAGGTGATCTGTTGTACAATTGTGTTTTGCTATTAGTGTGGCTTTAAGTTGTAATTGGTGTTCTATAATTAAAGTGTCAATTTTGGTAATTCACTCCGTAGTTCTTAATTGTTCCAACCCCAAGCATGTAACAACTATATAGCGATAATGCCGCCAAATTGTACACTTTACACGTTTTTCAATATTTTTTGTATTCTTTCTTCTTCTTCTTCTTCTTCTTCTTTTAAACGTTACGTTACACGGGGAATTTTCTACTGCATTGAGGAGGATGTTTACAAACAAATTGCACAAGGACAAACATCGAGACCTGGAACAATTATATGTAGGTCATGCAAATACTTGTTCCGTGCGAGATTCGAATCCGTGGTCCTCAGCGCTGCGTCTCACTGGTGAACCACTGCGCCACAGAGTCATCGCTGTAATTTTGTGGTGTACAATAAAAATATATTCATTCACACATTCATTCAATTGTGTATTGTGTGCAGAGGCAGCAGCTACGCCGACAACCTGGAGGCGCAGCGCGACGGACTGGCCGCCGCCGCCAGCCAGCGCGCCACGCAGGCGCAGCCGCTGGTAACTGTCGCTTTTTGAATTTTGACTCTTAGATTCGGTATTGTTTACGGTAGTCGCTGTATGAGGGTACAATATTTTTCTTCACGTAGTTTCGTGAGTTGTAGAAAATGTGGGAAAATAAATTTGAGGTCTTTTTCCTACATTTTCTATAATCTCATAAAATAACTTCTACTGAATATTGTTGATTTAAGAGATATACTACCTCTGCTCAAATTCTAATTTCGCCCCCACTTCCCCGCGCGTCGTATGCTATCTACCGACATGTTTGTAATCACTAATACTAGAAGTAGATAGGTCGGTAGATACTTTATCATTAGGTTTATCATATTTTTACCTGTTTCTTTACTCCAAACCCAGTCGCTTTCTATTTTTATTACGGTTATTTCCCGTATTAAGTTTACGTCGTCCTGTTGCGTAATGTGTAATCTGAGCGCAAGCGACACAGCTTTCCTGTTCAAAAGCCGAAGCGAGACTGAGCGGTGACTGAGGGGGTATCGGGTGGCGGGGGACAAGCTTCAGGACGTTATTTAATAGTTTAGGTAATTGATTTTTACCTTGAAAATAATGATAATAAAAAAATGAAAAACATTAGACCTGCTTTATAGTTGGTTCAGTTAAGTTCAGTGCAAAGTTTCATGATCTAATTTGAAGTATTTTGTGAATGCCAGCGGTTTATTTTTCGGTTTGGCGGTAACTGGATTTTTTTCTATCGAGAAAATTTTACGGAATCGTGATTTCGTCTAACATATTACTTAACATTAATCCTCAACTTTACCATATATTTATTTCAAAATTAATACTGCAAGATTTGCGGCATAACGAAGGATCATGCTAAGCCATTTGAGATGGTATAGGCTCTTAAATATATTAAACATGTAATATTGGAAGTTCAAACAATAGTTTTTGGGCCTAGAACTTTCTTGCAGCAGCAACCCATGCTACGCCACTGTCTTGCCATAGATTACGTAGTCCTCAAGCAATTTCAATTCGACACTTCAGTTATTATAATTTATAATAATGTAAAAATAATGTAAGTACCACTTTATGAAATGTTCGTGTCTGAAAAATTATGTCGTTCCGAGTACATAATGTGAATTCTGCCATTTTGTCAACTTCGCGGTGAAACGACACTGTACTTAATGGCGTGGCTGGGCGTTTATCCAGCTGCGGTATATGCTTTTTACTTTTCTTTTATACTTAATAGGTTTGTAGTTATACTATTTTTTATAACTATTTCTGTTACCATATCCATGGATGTGTATAAATGTTGACTTACCTACTGACTAGTTTAATAATAAATATATTGTGATAAGGGGTCAACAATTAACCCAAACTACCGGCATGTATATATTTTTTGTTTTATCCCTTCCTTAGCTTTAATAGATATACATTTTCGACAGCCCACGGGAATGGATCAACGAGAGATTGATGAAATATCAGCTTGGTTAGCGCAAGAAAAGGTGTGTTATTTTTTGTTTTTCGTTTATTTATATATTTTTTGTTCTTCACACATTTTTATTCTTAATACATAGAGGGTTCATTTAATTGCTGAGCATGACGCTTTTCCGTACTATTTATACAACGGTCTACGACGGTCACAGGTCCCACCTGTGGATTTTGTGATCATGGACACCTACTCTCGATTAAGTTAGAATACAGATGCGTTGTCACCTCCAATAATTAAGTTGAATGCCAATAAAATGACTTGTTTCCGTAACTTACCACACCAAACACAGCAGTATTATGTTGCTATTTCACGCTGGAATTATGTTCGTGCGTGGTCCTTCGAGCCGGTCGGCTCGTAAAGAATCCATTCGTTCGGCAATATAATACAGCTGCAGTATAGTTTTAGCACGCTCTAAAATTCTCAGACGACACGCTCTATTTCTTTGTAAATTATTTCAAACGTAATTGAATACGAAGCAATCAGCTACAGTAACTTTATTAATGTTGTTTTTAAAGATGTATTAATATGTTAGGAGTTTTAATGGGAAGTCTTAACTTACTTATTTTACTTATAGAAAATAAGATTCAGCAGTGTTTTAAAATTTAATATTATACTTTTTTATATTTGTAAGGAGCTTTTATTAACTTATTTTATTTACATCTAATAACTTATTAATTTAATTATAGAGGTTGAGGTTATTTAATAGTTAATATAATTAAATTTCTATGTATAAGTAATAATATATCAGTTAGATAAGGATGTAAATTTTTAATTTTTATTATACTGGGTTTCTTCTAGCTCTAGTTTAAGAATATCTTTTGAAATATTGTTTGACTAACATTTTTTTCCAATTTCAAGTAAAAATTATAACAAAATATACAAATAAAGCAGAATTCCTTTTCCTCAATTGCTTCCTCAATGCTCGATATGAAAACTTGATCTGTAGTATGTACATATACGTGGACTGTTTTATGCTCAAAAAGACAGTAGGTTTGAGTCCCGGCTAAAATAAGACGATAGGAAGATTTTTCTAAAATCTATTAATGCACCTAGTGGTTGTTTTTGTCAAAATCGATGACGAGAGATCTTCAAGCAAATATCAATAATTACACATTTTTCTTGCATACTGCCCCATCACAATTAAATTTTAATTCAGATTACCCTGTTAGCTCGCGAGGCCACGTATATTACGTGGCCTCCTGACACTCCCGTTCGCTCGCGACCGTAATGGCGGGAAAATTTGCAAATTAGCAAATTTTTTGCTATATTGCAAATTTTGCTATATTTTCACTTTGAGACAATATTTATGGATAAAACTTACAGGAATTCTTGTTGAATGTATAAACTATTGAATAAAATTATTTTGGTTGTTAGAAATTATAATAAAATTCATAAATTACCCTTTATAGCATAAGTAGTAGTATATACTTCACTTTTAGTGCCAAAATTACTACTAATTTGAATTCTACACTTTTGTTTTTGGAGAAATTTATATGAAAATGTTTGGAAATATGTATATTTTTATGTTTTATGTGTTTCTATTCGTTACTCATACCAAAATATTAAAATATAAAAAAATAAAAAAAAAATAATAATTATAATATTTATCTGTATGACATTTCGAACAATATTTCAAAAATATTTTTGTGTGAATTTGAAATAAATACAACGTCAAGTTATTTGAAATATGTAAGAAAACTATTTTTACTTACATTTTACACTAAAAATAAATGAGAATTGGAAAAATAACACATTTATGACCCCAACCGCCAAAATGGGCGTTCCGTATTTCGAAGTACTTTTGGCAATTTACTTTTCACTTTTTATACCACAAATTATATATCTACGTGTTTACTATATTACAAGGAATATAAAAAAGTATAATACTTTCGTTTTTAGTCCAGACACAAATATAAAATTCTATAAAAAAAACGGAGCACCTTCATCAAAGCGACACGTGGAACGCCGAAAGTTCAGAGTGATTTCTTTTTTTTTTTCTAAGAAACATTGCCAGGTTATGGTTTAAAATAAAAGAGCATATCTTTGTCTTTGATACTATTATCTATTGCATAGTGTCTTTGGTTTTGTTTTAATTAAAAAAATTCTTTTTCAAAGGGTAGTGCTTGTTGTACACATGTGTACCTCTATCGAGCGAGCGGAAGATGTTTATTTCTTGTACACATGTGTACCGTCGGCGACTCTACAGGTTAACTTTATAACTGTATTTTTGATTGGAAATTACTTTGAGTAAGGCACAAATTGCGGTTGTTTTTGTATTGGGACACAATTTATTATTTATTTGTTCTGTAAATTTAATCCTACCTATTAAATGATAATCAGCTCACTAATGAAGAGCTTAATGCATCGTCAAATTTATATATATATATATATATATATATATATATATATATATATATATATATATATATCTGTTAAATAAAGTATTGTCAATATATTTTAATGTAAAATAAATTATTATAGGCTGCTTCAGAGGCAAATGGAGCTCAGGAGAGCGTCACTAGCAGTGACTTCGACAAGTTCTTAGCCGAGAGAGCAGCCGCAGCTGAAAACCTACCTAATATCAGTGAAGATAGAGCCCAAAATTCGCCGCAGCAGACACCACGGCATAGGCAGATTAAAAAGGAAGACCAAGACTCTATGTTCGCGCTCTGATGTGCTTGAATTGTTACAGTACTATAGGCCTGCCGTATATAATTTTGAAATAATTCAAAACGTTATAATGTAATTTAAGATGGCTTGCCGTAATAATACGTATCTTACGAGAGTATTGCTAGTATTTAGAACTTACACCGCCGTGTTAATTTTGAGTGTTTTTAATTAAGAACAATTTTAGGCCAGAATGCTTATTATTATATTTGTATTCTGGAAATCAACCTTTATCATAAATTAAATAAAAATACTTTTTAAAATTGAATCTTCAAATGAAATATTTATAAATTAAATCATTGTCGATTCTTTACCAAATATTTATTTATTATTTTATATTTTTAATAAATTAACTAACCTGAAATCATTTTTTTTTTGGTGGGCCTATATTTCTGGCGCGATTATGTTTCAAGTACGAATGTTGTTTATTTCATCGATATATCTATTTATTTAACTTTAAGAATACGTCGTTTTATAGTGATAATATGAGGTATTAATTACTATTATCGTTCACATGTAATCGATGCGCCATAGTGCCTGGCTTTTTCTACACATATTTGAAATATTTTAAGGTGATCAACAATCAATCCATTTGGACCATACATATTTTTTAAGTATAACATTTTTGACTGAGGTTTATATTGTTCTATGGGTATTTACGTTTTATGATGAAATTGTTTCTAAAAATATTCGAGTTGATATTTTTAACTGTATAGCTCTTACTTCCGATTGTTGTAAAGATAATATCACACAGAAAATATATAATTTACTTAGACTTTTGACTATATGTTTTTCATTTTACTATACATACAGGGTATTTGTGTAAACACCGTTATCCTTGAAACCAGTGGTTTGGTTTCACTTATAGAACGTAAATTCAATAAATTTTAAAAAAACGCTATTTTCTTTCATAAAATTTAAAAAGTTTCTGTCCGACACCGTCCGTAAATTCATGGATACCCTATGCGCCCGAGTGACGTAATCACTGTAAAGATCACCGCCCGCGCTAGCTACCTACACAACATTCCAATAAAAACACAATAGGTACACATAACCTGGGAAGTAACTTTTCCTTCATACTTTCATCCTGGCTTAGGACAGGCAAAAATTGAGGAATTAAGGAAAAATTGAGATTTTACTAAAAAATGTTGTTTTTTCTCATTTGATTTACGTTCTATAAGTCAAACCAAACCACTGGTTTCAAGGGTAACGGTGTTTACACTAACACCCTGCGAAAGGAAAGCGAAATATTTCGCCTTAAAAAATCTAACCTAATAGAATTACTATTATCAGTAATACTTATGAAGGTGCAAAAAATATTAAGATTACATAGGTACCTCAATTTATTTTAAAAATTCGAAACCAAATTTTTGAATTACAAATTAACAAATCCCAATACGGTTACCCACAACACAACTAAATAATTTTTATGAGTATTGTCAATTTAAATAAAAGTGAAGTTATATTATTTTTATTTACTTTAATTATTTACAGCCTTTACGAAAGTTCGTATTTCTGTCTAAATACATATTATATCTGATGACTTCAACTTAAAATACTTCAATGTGCAAACGGTTACTTTTGTAGCGGTAGCAGACCTGCACTGTCATTGATTATGTATTTATAATATTTAAAGCTAAGTAGATTCCTAAATGTTATGTATTAACTGTGGTGGACTTGAAGCGAAATTGGGGAGCATTTATTGAATATTGGTGTTATAAAGCCCACTTAATGAAATTACTATTTTTTACTGTTTAAGAAGGACATGCAATGTAATAAGATGTTGTTGGAATCGAAATATTATATTATTCATGTAAGAACACGTGCAGCCATGGATGGTAACGTGCTGATGAACGACATTTTCTTCATGCGCAAAATTTGTGCAGTAATAATCTCGACCAGGCTCTTAAAATATGTACATATAATATGTATAACTTATTGGTATAACATATCTCTAAAAATGAGTTTTTGAAAAATCTGCCTGCGATAAAATGAATTTGTTTTCATATTTAATAAGACATTTTTCACATAATAATCATCTTGAATTGGCATCCGAAGAACTGACCTTGTCAGAGACTACAATTCATGTAATTTTATTGAATGAAGAATTCAGGCTGTTGTAAGTTGTACATCTTTATCAAAACTGGCTCAGATTGTAAACATAAAAATGCTTTGATCGAAAATGACATGATATATGAGGGATGTTGTTTTGTACTATTTGTAGTACGAGTACACCAGCACACTAATAACTAGTGTTAGACAAATTAATCGTCTGTTTTCCTTTAAACCATTCGCTACGTTTTTTACCTGCATTCTTCCTCACGGTTTATGGGACAAAGCTCACAGAAAACTTACTCATTCCACTCTTTGTCTCAATTAAATAGTATTTTGGTGTTAATGTGATAACTTGTAAAAGAACAAGCTTAATGTTAATTATTTAAAAGAGTTATTTTATGTTTTAATCGTTGTATTTAAGATAATAAATAAATTATCGTATAAGGAATATTTTAATTTACTTTACCTCCTTTAATAAATAATTTCGATAAATTATGACTGTAGTAGAAGAATAAAATCTGCCACTTTGCCTGGCGTATGTGGACTATGAGAAAGCCTTTGATTCCGTCGAAATTTGGGCGGTCGAAAGTTGACTGTCGGTATATCGAAGTGCTGAAGTGTTAGTACAGTAGGGCTACGATGGCTATCCGAGTACAGAACCAGAGTACGAAACCTATCCAATTGCAGTGAGGTGTAAGACAGGGTGACGTTATATCCCCGAAACTTCACCGCTGCATCGGAAAACGTTTTCAAGCTACTGGACCGGAAAAGATACGGTATTAACATCAATGGCGAGTACATCAATCACCTTCGATTTGACGACGATATAGTCCTTATGGCAGAATCGCTAGAGCCGACAAGTGTCTCCCAACGGATAGATCTTAAGATGAACATGGACAAAACAAATATAAGTTTTTGACAGTACGTTTACCTAAGACAAATAGTCCGACTAGGTAAGTCCAACTTCGACCGAGAGGTTAATCGACGGATTCAACTCGGCTGGGCAGCGTTCGGGAAATTACGACACATTTTCTCGTCAGGTATACCTCAAAATCTGAAAACTAGATTGTACAACCAGTGCGTGTTGCCAGTGATGAGTTACGGATCTGAGAGGATCCTTCACTGCTGGCCGTATGAGGACGCTAAAAGTCGCTCAGCGAGCTATGGAGAGGGCTATGCTCGGGATTTCTCTGCGAGATAAACTTAGAAATGAGGATATCAGCAGTAGAACCAGGGAGATCGATATAGCCCAACGGATTAGTGAGCTGAAGTTGCAAAGGGCCGGCCATATAGCTCGAAGAACCAACAACCGATGGGGGAATAAGGTTCTCGAATGGCAGCCTCGTACCGGTAGGCGTAGTGTAGGGCGACCCCCCCCCACTGGATGGAGTGACGACCTGGTAAGACATGCAGGAAGTCAATGGATGCAGGTGGCTCAGGACCGTGTGGCATTCCTTGGGGGAGGCCTATGTTCAGTAGTGGACTTGTGAAGGACTGTAATGATGTGAATGATGATAATGACTGTATAGTGGCTGTGTAAGAATATCCTCTACAACATATCGTCCAATTAGCGTTTTAAGAGGCGACGGAAGGATACTAAACTGGAGATTGGCAGCAACGTCTTCCTAATGACCACTATAATTAACAACTAAATAAAAGTAAACTGCGATTGCTAACGTGCCTGCGAAACGTGACAATTATGGTAAATATGAGCCATGAGGCAATCTATGGGACAGGCCTACCTTCATCAGTGGACTGGTATGCTGTAACGGTAAAGGAATTGGAGTATTTTATTTAAAAAAACGATCATCATAGCTATTGCAGCCACTATTTCACTACAAAACACAGACCTCCTTACGGCTATGTCGATAACTACGGTTCCACTGAGGATAACTTCAATATGCGATTATATTGTATGGTTACACCACACATTTTTATTTAGTAAACGTTGTAACCTACTTTAGCCGGGCGTCGCGTGAGTAGTTAGTACCAGTTCTGGCTCACTGAGTCAGAAGTGGTACAACGTGCGTCGACTCACGATCCTAAAAGAAAGAGCTCTGATCACGAATCTGCGGTCCGTTTTCGTGTAGGATGCACGGTTCCGGAGATGTGCAGATCAATTAACTCTTATCTAATTGATATCCGGTGAGAGACTCCACCGTCATTAGCGCTCCATTGTTCTTGTCTATTGTTCATTGAATACCGTCAGTATCTATTCTTCCTCAGCGTTTGCGTCGGATTATCAGTGCTATTGTATTATATTCCTTTGTCTACAACGCTACAACGCTAATCTGAATCATCAATAAAATACATTACCTAATTTTGTTAAAATTTTTATTTACAAAATACAAAATCTTATTACTTATTATCTACAAAATAGGAGCGAAACATCTCATCCACTAAAATATCGTTGTACAATGTGTTCCCTGTAAATATACTCGTAAAACTATGCATTGAACATCCCTGAAACTTATATAGCAAATACATTAAGCAATATTCGCCACAAACTGAAGTCCACTCATTCTGAATCCTATCAACATTCCAGTTCCATCTCTTAAAATTATTTTTTAAAAACTCTAGATGATATCGTACATGTGCTCGTCCATATGAATCAAAATATTGACTGGCGTCATTCGTATCGATATATAAAGCTACCCAATGTGACCCTGGTTTATCATCTGTATCCAAATTGCATATTATATACATTGGTACGTGGGTGTATATGGGCAGTTTATTGGCAGCATAAACATTATTTTCTAGAGCGGGGTGAATCTTTTTACAGATGTTGTTGTACATCTAGTGTATCCATGATATTACTGCTATTAGTAGATTATTACAGTACCAATCTACTCAATGACTAACATAGGAATGATCAATTATAGTGATTTCTAAATATTAAATTGCATTATTTTGTGTTATAAAAAACGTATTTGAGTCATCAATACACTGAACAAGACGCGACACGAAAGAATGCTGAGATAAGCAACAGAATGTGAGATAAGCTTGTTGACGCATAAAGTTACTAACAATTCCTCTGCAGAAATTCTTTAGATTAGAATTATTACTTACTGGTACTATATAAGACCAAGCAACTGCAGTCATGGAGTTAGTGTATGGTCGTTTGACCGCAGTGGATCTATCAATACTACATTTGTGTTAGCTTGTCAACGCATCAAAGCCAGAGTTATTCTATTGACAAACTTCACTGCAGAATTTCTTTCCGTTATTATTCTTACGTGTGTATGATTTAGTTTAACAAATTATATTTAAATATTGTGTGTGTATATGATTAAGCCGTGGTAGCTCAGATGGTTACCGCAAGCTATAAATTTCACAGTACGCGACCGGCTTCGATCACCACCGGCACCAATTAAATTGTTAATTGCAATTTTAGATGTGTTTATTCTATTGACAAACTTACTTTTCTTTCTGTATTTTCTTACGTGTTTATGATTTAGTGTTAAAAAATTATATTTAAATATTGTGTGTGTACCGCATCATGAATACTAGTTAAAAAAATACTTTTTTTACAATGACAGTCATTAGTTGATCATTAGTGAATGTGATTCTGTTTACTTAAATTACAGGAAGACAAGAGCAGAAGGAAGAAATGGGATGATGGGAAGTAATGAAGCATTGTTATGTGAAGTTTGTTGGAACAAATATATTTTTAGTCACGTGTAAATACTTATAACATTTTGGTTCAAAACGACACAAAATCTAAAAAATATTAGATACATCATCGACATGGACGGATTTTACATTACATATCCTCATAAACATTTTCAATGTAGAGAAATGGCTATTCTAGACGTAAAACTATCTAATAAAAATGATGAGTTTATCGATCATTATTTATTTGGGCCAAGTTATCCTTTAAATTATTTGTCGCCAAAAGACAAAAAAAACTGTTCGTTATTATGAAACACACGTGCACGGCATTCCATATTTTGATGTGACCGAAGAATTAAAATGTGTCTACAAACAAGAGGACATCATTCCCATATTAAATTGGTATATTAGAAATTTGTGTGTAAATTGCCCACCCGGGTTCACTTTTCGCAAACGAACTATTAAATTACTGTCATGAGCAGTCATTAAGTTGTGTTGACATCGATGTTCTAGGTAAGGAATCCGACACGCGCACGTTTGTAAGCGATGCGTACGGGACATGTCGATGGCTCGACCACTGCATAGTGAGTGATAGTGACTGCGGCCGTCGCTAGCGCAGTGAGTAGTGTGTGTGTATCATAGAGGAAAGTAATATATCGTACAGTGTGTATTATATGACGTCTACTCGTTGGATCACTTTCCGTTACTTGTTCAGTGGACTATTAGTACAATTATACCTATAGAAGTGACTAATTTAACTAGTAACAAGCCAAAGATAGTATGGGGCAATAGAGACTCGGCGGAAATTCGGAAATATAGTACCTTATGCGATTTTAATTTAAATAATCTTTTAAGACAAATTAATGTTTTTAATAATAATATTATGTGTAACTGTGTTATAGCTTGTAAGAATAGTGACCAATGTACTTCAATAAATGAATTTTATAATAATTTTATTAAGATATTACAGACTAGTGCAAAAAATAGCAAATAAAAGATAAAAAGCCATTTGTGACTGGTTGGAACTATCACGTGAGGCGTCTACATGTTAAGGCTAGATTAAAGTTTAGTGTCTGGGTTGCTGTTGGCAAACCATCTTCTGGTTATTATTATAATGAAATGTCTTCTGCTCGTAAGGAATTTAAATCCGCACTTAAATTCATTCAAAACCATCAAGAAAAGATAAAGTTAGATATATTGGCCCGAAATAATAAATCGAAAAAATTTGGACAATTTTGGAAGGAGGTGAAGAAATTAAATCCTAAAGCGGATATCCAGGTGAGTGATCACACAAAGATAGCCAACCTTTTTAAAAATAATTTTAATGTTGACGTGAAAAATGAGCAAGATACACCCCAATTAACTACTCAGAATCATACCTTGTTGAGTACAGAAATATCTTATGCTCAGCTAAATTTCGAGAACTGCCTATTTACAGAGGAGGATGTGGTATCCGTCTTACGTGGTATGAAAAGGGGAAAGTCTCCGGGATGTGACTACCTGAGTATAGAGCATCTGTTGCATGCCGGTCAGTATATTTGTGTAGTCCTCTCTGCATTATTTAACTTATGCATGCGCTACTCATACCTGCCAAATAATCTATTACGTACCATTGTGGTGCCGCTTCCGAAGTGTAAGACTGGAGATCTCGCAAGCATGGCTAATTACCGACCTATATCTCTTGCCACTGTTGTGGCCAAGGTATTTGAGCGTTTGATTCAAGCCAAAATTACACCCTACATGTCCATTGACGATGGTCAGTTTGGTTTTCGACCAGAGCTATCTACAGATATGGCTATTTTTGCCTTAAAATTGTAAAAAACAAAAAAACCCTGGTATTGTTGACCTGCTCACATATTGGTATAAGAGACAGATCAATAATGTAAAATGGTGTGACTCTCTGTCCGATGAATACTCGCTGACTTGTGGAGTAAGGCAGGGGGGGCTTACCTCACCCGACTTCTTTAACATCTATGTGAATGACTTGATCGTGGAGCTGAGCAGAACCCCAGTCGGACTTAGGCTTTGCAACCGTTATGTTAACAACCTAAGTTACGCTGACGATATGGTTCTGCTCAGCCCTACAATCAAAGGTATGCGGAAATTAATATCAATGCGAAAAATTTGCTAAAGATCATAGTTTAATTTATAACGCAAAAAAGACGGAGATGGTGATTTTTAAGGCGGGCAAGGGCCCAACTAATGTACCTGAGGTGCACGTGGCGGGTCAACCGGTTAAAATAGTTCAAACGTTCAAATACCTCGGTCACATAGTGACAACGAACAGAAAAGATATCGATATAGAACGACAGAGAAGAGCTTTGTCTGTCTGTGGCAATATGATTGCCAGGAGGTTTGTTAAAGCCTCCAAGGAGGTTAAGATTATGCTCTTCCAAACGTACTGTCAGTCTTTCTACACCTGCCAGCTCTGGACTGAATATGCGGGGCGATCTTTGAATGGTATTCGTGTGCAATATAATAACATCTTTAGAATGCTTATGGGTCTCAAACGCTATTGCAGTGCTTCAGGCATGTTTGCCGAAGCACGAATTAATACGTTTAATGCCATTCAAAGATTCAGAATCGCATCATTCATGTCCAGGGTTGGTGAGTGTAGAAACAGGATAATTAGTGAGTTTGCGGAAAGACTGCCGGCCACAGCCTTTTATCAAAAATGGCTTAAGATAGCTGCTTGACGTGATGGTTCTCTCCATTTAGACTTAGATATTATTATAATATAATTATTTTTAATTGTTACTAATTCTGTACTGCATTGTCTTTTTTTTTGTTGGTAATTTATATGGGTGATATGTGCCTGAAATAAAGAGAATTTTATTTATTTATTTTTAAAAGTCCTTATCGTATGCTACTGCATTTTGATACATTATACCATAATAGGCCTTATTCGATGACGCCCAATGTTTTTGAAAAGTTTTGTGATACGCAAATTACTTATAATTCGCATGTGCTTTCATCGATCCCGAATAATTTGAATAAAGATTTTAAAACTTGTTCTGCTCAGAGCCATGATGCTTTTACCAAATTATGATCAGGTGCAAATCGATTTAACCTGCAACGAAGTGATACCGTTAGAAGAACTCTCATTTAATGTAGCTGAAGAAAATGATATTAGTTCATCAACGTACGCGTTGCAATGTGGTTTTGATTCCGACGACTCTGTGCGTGATAAAGACTATCTCCCATCTGATTCAAGTGATGACGTTGAATCAGTTAAACCAAGAAGCCAAAAGTCCCAACTGTTACAAACAAACAAAAGTTCTAAAAAAAGGGTTCAGAATCCATATTTACACCAGCTGTGGTCAAGTGTGTGGTCACGAAGAGCTTAACTTCAGAGGTTCTTGACAATGAAAAGAAAAAAATTAATTGTATTCATGAAAGAAAAAATTGCAGAATAAACGCAGAAGTTCAATAAATTTTCCTTGTGTTGATAAATATATTCCGGCGTCGCAACTTCCTCGCAATCGTAGGAACACCATTGATGTTGGTGCGTATCAAACATTGTATCAAGTCAATGAATCCGTTGCAGTCACTTTGGAACCTGAAATATCACAAAAAAAAAACAAAAACGTAAAAAATATGACACTCCATTATTTCAGCAAAAAATAGATGCCCAAAAAAAAGTTAGAACATAATGTTAAAACGGGGTGTAACGAAACCTGCCTAAAAATGTACTTCTATATTTAGTCAAGACCGGCGAGAAGCAATCAATAAAATGTATTGGGACTTGTCCTGGCGAGAAAAGCATTTATTCTTGAATGCACACACTTCAGTAGCAGTTCCAAAGAGAAAAACCAAGAAGGGTATTTACATTTAAACAACTAGACGACATCAGAGTTGAGGTATTCGAAACCTTTTTTTGACTACCGTAGGTTATGTTAAAACAAACGACAGGATCTTGCATAGCTCTCATATAGATCCCCGATTTACTGATAAAAGAGGAAAGCACCAGAAAACACTTTCTTATGATCGTAATTTGTTGACTCAGCACGTTGAATCGTTTCACCCATCAGTACCCCACTACAGGCGTGAACATGCTCGACGATATTTTTCAAGTGATATTAGTATAACTAACATGCATAGATATTTCTGTAAGAAATATCCAGATAAGATCGTTTCGTATTTACTATATAGGCTGCACGTAAAAAAATATTTCTTTTACTCGTTAGGGTAATGAAGAGTGCGAAATATGTGAAGCCTATACTTTGCATAAAAAAGAAACACGACATGATGCCGGTAACCAAATTGACTTAGACTGTAATGTATGCGTGGAGTGGGCATAGCATCATCAAAAATATAAAAAAGCAGGAGCTTTACAATGAACACGAAAACTTACCCCAAAATGATTCCCAAATATATTACAGCGCAGATCTAGAAAGAGTAATTATGTTGCTCAGATTCAAAGCTGCAATTTTTTGCCAACGCTTTACGGCATTCAATCAGACATTTGCACTACTAGGCAAAATCAGTTCCTCTTCAAAGCCATTAACAGTTATATGACATGATGGTATTGTAGGGAGAAAACAAGAGGATATCATGACGGCCTTCTACCATTTTCTTTTATGTTACCGAGACGATACTAATGTGAATATATGGCTCGATAACTGTAGTGCTCAAAATAAAAATTGGTTATCATACTCGTTACTTGTCTATTTAATCAGCTGTGAAATAATTTCAAAATTTGCTTTAAAAAGGTATTTTTGAAATACTTTTAGTTGTTTCATAAGATGACATTATATATAAGGTGAAGATTGTTTTTATGTTTTTTCAGTTTTTGTTAAGATCTCATTTTCAATTATTGTAAGTAAGTCCTCGTAAAGTAATTTTGTTAAAATTAAAGAAGACTGTGTCATTAAATGATTGATTTATATTTTATAATAAGCTCTTTTATTTCTGTAGCTTACTACTACTTTATTTGATTTCCTCAACAATCGTGTGGTAGTTTCAAAATTTAGTTTTACCGCCGCCGTTACGTTTTAATGTTTTGTATTTAGCGGCATTTAAGCCATGTAATCAACCTAAAAAATAAATGCAGAAAAATTATCCCTATAAGTCACTAGTCTTAAGTGCGGCTACGTGGTTCTAGCTGCAATAATATAATGGTTTTGCATAGTGTTTGTTCTCGGAGTCATAATGCTAAGCTATAACAACGTTAAAGTATTTAGTGGCATTATAGTCTAGTAATGAAGAGATTTTTTTAAGACTTTTAAATGTCAATAAAATTAAATGAAAATAATAAATAATAATAATAATCCACAACTATCACACAACGCCATCTAGTCCCAAGCTAAGCAGAGCTTGTGTTATGGGTACTAGACAACTGATAAACATACTTATATATTTCTAAATACATAAATATTATAGATAAATTACACCCAGACACAGAACAAATGATCGTGCTCATCACACAAACATTTGTCCTGGGTGGGAATCGATCCCACGACCTCCGGCATAACAGTCAGGGTCACTAACCACTAGACCAACAGGCCAAAATCACACTAAAGTGCCGTTATAGTAGGCTTAGCGGCATTATAATTGTACTTTCATAAGTTGTAAAATGTAAAAACATTAAACTAAAACGCAAAAAGCTATTTTTGTTAAGGTTAAATCATTATTAAACAAGTATGGTTTTTTGAAAGCGCAAAACTAGATCTAATTTTAGATATTGATAACTCTCGCATATAAGTTATAGTGGTGGTTTTGCTGGAGAGCGGCATTATAGTTTGCGGACGGCAGAATACCAAGAGAGACCTGGTCTACATTTTATCCGACAAACTTTAAGAAAAATTCATAAGTAGTTAATAGATCCTATGAACTTTTGATTGGCAGTAATAATTCCAATAAAAGTCCATGTAACATGCAATGCTGTGCTATGCCGGTAGTTAATGGTGTTCCCATTAACTACGCTACGCTTGAAGTTATTGACGAGTATGTTTCTTTATTATTCTTTCAACTCAGGTCATTTGACAGATCTTTGTAGGGCAGCGTTCGAGACATGCGACACATTCTCGTTTTTTATCTTTTTTTTTCTTCGATAGATTGTAGTTATATTATAATCGTAGCAGAAATAGATTGGTTCGACCGGGGTAGGACCACGTTTTCACAGAATACCAGCGTAAAATGACTCCTTAGTACTGCTGTGTTTCGTATGGTGAGTGTAGAGAACCGGAGACCCTTTTATTCGAAACGAAGTATTTCATCTCAGTCCTCAGCATCGATCACTAATAAAAAAAACTCTTTATTAGTGATCGATGGTCCTCAGGGATGATAACGCATCTGCATTGTGGTTTTTAATTACGGATAAACGTCTATGGGCCACAGCACCCACTTACCATCAGGCGGACTGTGTGTTTGTCAGCCTTTTTCTATAAAAAAGCCCAACAAAATTGTGTTGTCACAGTTTCTATTTGTATTCCAACTGAGGATCTGCAACTTGGTACTTTTAAGCACTTGGCCTTGTGGCACACACTATATCCGAATACTTATGTTACCACAATCCTATTGGTTAACTTTTCCATACCCATGCCCGATACCCGTTAGGTTAGGAATAGTACGGTATATGGAGTGTAGATAGGTAAATTTTGATACTAAAATCTTTTGCTCATTTGGTATTTTTCGAAAATATTTGAAAGTCTCTCTTGAAGCTATGTCAAATTAAATTGGAAGGATATTATTTTAGCTTAAAGATGATAAACTTTGATGATCAAAAACTCCTATGAAAAAATTTATAGCGTAAATTACTATTTAAATCGCAGCTTTAAATATTTAACTGTTCATAGAGGTCTTTTTTCTCATATTTAGCTTCAAATTTTAATACCTACGATACTGTTTTTTTTTTATAAATGACACAGAAACGCAGACATATCGTCCTATTTGTCCTTACAAACGCCATTATAACTACGCTCTTACTTTGGTTTCATCAGCATCAGTCAAAATTTTATATAAAACAATTTTATTGAAATAAAAATAAAGATAGAATTTTTTCTCTGATTTAATTTTATTTATCAATCTAATTTTATTTTAATTAAAGAAAATTTCCTTTATTTTCTTGCTGTGCTAAATGCATGAATTGAATTTTAAAATTATTCAAAATACAATCTTGTATGATCAAGATAAAATTTCTTTTCCTAAAGTGTTCCAAATTTTTGAATACTTTGACTGATTGGATACCATTGGCGTTCTGTTTGTTACTATAACATTGAACGCTTTAAATGATCGCTTATATTTGACGTTGTACGTATTCCGACATATTTGAGCAATATTAATTTTCTCAATAATTTGACCACTATAGATGGTTGAATGTTTATGATCACTTTGGATGTTTCAAAATATTTGACCACCTTGACTGCTCTCTTATATCTGACGCTGACTGTAAATTGTACACATTTTAGGGTTCTGTATATTTTAATCGGTTAAAGAGAATTTGCAGTCTCAGTATAATACTAGTATAATAAAACAAACTCCTTATTTTTAACGTTTATTTATCAATTTCTGTATCCACAATAGATACACAAAACAGTTTCGGCAATTTTAATATTTTGTTATTTACAAATACTGTCTGAATTAATGTATTAATGCAGTAAAATATTTAGAATGTTTTCGTTATATAACCAAAGATTTTCTTCAATTTCCGAATACTAGTATGTGTGATTTTACAGTGACGCTTTCGCCAGCACGGGTGGTAGGCGCGGCCCGAAACTATAATACGAGCTTAGAGTCGCGCGGTTTTGTATACTGTTGAACCGCGCGGCTGAATGCCGCCAGCGCGGGCCATCCGCGCGTGTTGGTACACTACGTAACGATCCAAGAGACGCAACGCTCGTGGCCCGCGACGCTTATCAACCGCGCTGGCGAAAGCGTCACTGTAAAACCACACTAACATAAACTTTTAATGTTCATTATGCCTTAATTAACAAAAAAAAAACCTTATAAAAATCACGTACAAAAATATATCGAATTGTTATAATATTAAGTCTGCCTTAAGCTATTTCTTGTGATGAATATAAATTTTTATTAGACGCGAAATTACTTTAGGTCAAACTTGATTGTTCGATGTCATTCAAACTAAAACTATAGGGGAATGTGAGATTTTCAAACGCCATTATGATACAGAAATTATAAATATTGTACATACATAAGTTATGTTACTGTTCTCTCTCAATAAATTATGCATATTGAATAAATTATTTTCCCGAAACAGATCCAGACTTTAGAGAGTATTAACACTGAATATCATTACAAAGAAAGAGAACTCTATTGAAATATTTAAGTCTCAACAAAGATTAACGAATAAAACGATTACTGCAAATATAATAGAAAACTTTTTGTT